TTTAGTTTGTTATAAATAAGCCATCTTACATAAAGATCCTTTTTTTTTTTTTTTTGTCTTGTTTGTTATACAAAATAGTACCTTTTAGAAAATTATACTTGTAAATTTTGGAGAAAAGTGTTAACTTATGTAGCCATTATATTCAATCTTTGAAGTCTGTTGTTAAAACTAAGAAAGATAAGGTTTATTTTCTTAACTCATGCTTATCTTTATATATTAGAATATTATCAGAAAAAGAAAACTGATGCTAGTTTATATAGAACTTCTAAATTTTGTGTTTTGCTCTTTTAAAATTTCTCAGGTCCCTCAGTGGCTCAGTTGGTTACGTGTCTGCCTTCAGCTCAGCTCATGATCTCAGAGTCCTGGGATCGAGCCCCACATCGGGCTCCCTGCTCAGTGGGGAGTCTGCTTCTTCCTCTTCCTCTGCCCCTCTCCCCTGCTCCTGCTCTCTCTCTTTCTCTCTCCCCTTCACTCTCAAATAAATAAATAAAATCTTAAAATAAAATAAAATTTCTGTCAAATATTTCAGAAATGGATAAGAATTCTGATTCATTTGGGAAACTGAATATTACATAGTTGTTTTTTTAAAGATTTTATTTATTTATTTTTTCGAGGGAGAGTGAAAGAGAGAGAGACATCATGAGTGTGGGGAGGGGCAGAGGGAGAAGCAGACTCCCCGCTGAGCAGGGAGCCTGATACAGGACTGGATCCCAGGACCCTGGGATCATGACCTGAGCTGAAGGCAGTCACTTAAAACAACTGAGCCACCCAGGCACCCTGAATATTACATAATGTTTTTCTTGTTTTCACAGGAGTGGTTAGAAAAGAAAAATGTGTATTTACATGAAATGCACAGAATTAAAAGGATCGAAAGTGAAAACTTAAGAATCCAAAATGAACAGGTATTCTGAAATATAGAAGTGGAAAATATTCTGGGTTTTTAAATCAGTAAAATATCTCTGGGTAACATTTCTAAATCCACTTTTTTTAAATGGCAAAATAACATGTATATAAAAGAATTAGTCACTGATTTTCTCTGGTACTTCACACATTTTTAGTTTGTTATAAATAAGCCATCTTACATAAAAACAGGTGCTCAGAGATTTCTGGTTTTATATGTGTGGAATGGATTCTACACGACTGATTAGGAACTTATTATTACTTGTGACCTCCTATTCACTCTTACTTTACTTTTCACTGTTAAAAATTGACTTCAGTCTTACAGCTTAGCCAAGAACGTAAAGGGTCATCAGGTAGGAACCTCCAGTTTTCCTCTTCCCCACCTTGAATTTTATATGTATCCTTAAGACCAGCTCTCACCTGGGCTCTTGACCAGTATCCTTCCCACTCACTGGAGCTGACTCGTTTCAGTCTGGCCTGTACTTCGGTCTCTACCTCTGACTCCTGCCTGGGGGCCCTCAACAGGCTTAGTTCCCTCCCAACTTCTAAACTAGAAGCCCTTCCCTGTGCCGCCGAGTACTAAATGGATTTAGAAGGAACCCCGGGTCCCCAGTGCCCGGGACTGCATGGAGCAGCCGTGCGTGGGTGCGCCTGCGTCCCCATCAGCACCTCTGCGGCCTTAGACGGCTGTGCTCAGTGCCCGACACCTTCTTGTGTCCTGTTCGCACCTTGCTGAGGTGGCTTGTACCTTTACTTCTAAAGCATGTTTTCTCTTTATAAGCCTTCATGTCATTTAGCGTTAAGCAATAAGGCAAAGAATACTATGGGATTGGATGGCGGTAAGTCAAGTAATAACATTCTTACCGAACCCTCACCTACATCTTTTCCGGTCTGGCACCCAGTTTCAACATTCGGGCTGCGTTTATTTTGTAACAGTTTTATGCTTTGATGTCAGTCCAAACTCAGGTTCAAAGCAAAGATCCGGGGCTTCTTGCGTGACTTGGCAGGTTGACCTCACTCTGACTTACTTTATAAGCCTGGAACTTTCCTCATCTTTTTCTTGTAATGGAATGAGCATTTTGCAGTAGCACTCAGACTATTATAGTTTATTTTGATAACATTTGTTTAGTACGCTTCCAAAAGAGTTCTTTCCCATGAATAGCAGATCAATATCTGATAAATGATTTTAGAAAAGGACTTTTTAAACTGCAATGAATAATTCCGATAGCATTTTTTTTTTCTAAATCCTCTTGGTCCCAACCATTCTAAATAAGTTACCTGCTTTGAAAAACAATGTCCAAAAATGATGACTCTGAAGGGAATTCAACACAATCTGTATGTGTGTGTCTGTATCTACCGCTGTCTGTCCATCTGTTTATACACACATGTCCGTCTCTTATTTTTTTGAAATAGAAAAGAGCTTCTAAGAGAGAAGAAGCATTAGCATCTTTTGAGGCCTGGAAGGCTATGAAAGAAAAGGAAGCAAAGAAAATAGCTGCCCAAAAAAGGCTTGAGGCAAAAAACAAGAAGAGAACAGAGGAAGAAAATGCCGTGAGAAAGGGAGAAGCGCTGCAGGTACTCAGTGGCTTGGCGTCCCTGCCTGCATCATGTCGCCTTCTCTGACTACTGTAGATTAGTGAGGAGCTGTGGCTCTTCTTCTGTGATCACTTTCACAGTTAACAAGAAAATCGTTGTGAACTTTTACAGGCCTTTGAACGATGGAAGGAGAAAAAGGTGGAATATCTTAGAGAGAAAAATAAGAAGGAGAGAGAATATGAAAGAGCAAAGAAGCAGAAAGAGGAGGAAACGATTGCTGAGAAAAGGAAAGATAACCTGACAGCCGTTGAGAAATGGTAATCCCAAAGGAGAGCTATTTGGGTAGATTTCAAGTGAATAACGCTTTAGGCTCTTAAAAAGATTATTTGCTTGAAACTTACTAATGCATCGCCATCTCATTATGGCAAGGATATATTAGGGAATCTTTATTATATCCTGCCCGTTAACCGTCCAGTGTTCTCTACTATCCTACATAGGAATGAAAAGAAGGATGCTTTTTTCAAAGAAAAGGAGAAAGAGAAAATAAATGAGAAAAGAAGAGAAGAACTAAAAAAAGCAGAGAAAAAAGATAAAGATAAGCAAGCCATTGATGAATATGAAAAATGGCTGGTAGGTATTGTCTGTTAATGCTCTTGTGTCTTGTGAATGTACTTTACTCTTGACTTTTCCATCCGTTTCCATCCAGTTCTCTTTGTCTCTGCCTACTGACCATTTTTACCTGAAGCTGCCCTGTGGAATCCGTTCTCTCCCCATGTCTGTCATATTGTCTTTGATTTACTCATTTCTGTTGACTCTTCTACTATTCCCTCAAGCAGTCAGACTTAAAACTTCAGGCATAATGTTCTTCCTTATCTGCATCCCGACATGCAGTCACTTACCAATCACGCCTGTTCTTGCTTTGCAACGACTCTTACATCTAAAATCACGGAGAGCTGACAAGTGCACAGCTTGACGGTATGCCAGACTATTTTAGGTGGGACTTGTCACAACACATAGTAATACTGAACTGAATAGTGAGATAGTTATTCCATTTTTTAAGTTCTCGTTTGCTTTTTCTAATGACCCCAAGGAGAAGGTTTCGTTTTGGTGTTGTTTAGCGAAAGAAAGTAAGTAGGAAGTTTGGGAGGAAAATGTCTAGCTGGACTTAACATTATTTTGTTTTTTATATTTTTTGTTTGTTTTAATGTACCTATGCTTATAGTTATTTTTCATTGATGTTAAGCAAAATACTGGTTTCTCTTAAAGTATCATTATAAATATGCATGTTTATCATTTTTTGACCAAGTAAGGCATTCACATGAATAAGTACTTTATACATGAGGAGGTGACACATTCATATGAGTGGTTAGCACATCCCATGTTGCGGCAATCAAAACGTGTAAAATTGCTCCACTGGGTTTAGGATCCAGTTGAGTTTCTTTCCAGTAGGAGTTCTTGTCAAACCTATTTTGAATTCACATCAATCTGCTAGTTAAAAATACTGTCCAGTGTATTTTTTTTTTTTAAAGATTTTATTTATTTATTTGACAGAGAGAGACACAGCGAGAGGGGAACACAAGCAGGGTGAGTTGGGGAGGGAGAAGCAGGCTCCCACGGAGCAGGGAGCCCAATGCAGGACTCGATCCCAGAACCCTGAGATCATGACCTGAGCCGAAGGCAGATGCTCAACCAACTGAGCCACCCAGGTGTCCCTGTCCAGGGTATTCTGTGGTTGTATTTCTCTGGTTAGGACTGAACTTGAGCAGCCTTTCATTTGTATAAGGGTCATTTGTAATTTTGTTTGTCAATTGTTAATTCACAGACTTTGCACATTTTTCTCTTGGTCTTTTTCTTGATTTTTAGAAGCTTGTTTATATACCAGGGAAATTAGCCTATCATTTCTGGTAGGAGTTACAACTACTTTTTTCCCATTGCTTTGTTGGTCTCTCAACTTTGCATATAGTATTTTATGCCATGAAAAATTTTATTTTATTTTATTTTCTGGTGTCAAATTTATCAGTCTTTTGGGTTCTGATTTTCAAGCGTAGTTGAAAAAAACTTTCTTTATAACTCGAGGTTAAATGAAATGCTCCCATTTTCCTTCTAGTAACATTATGACTCAATATCTTCACATTTTAACATTTGATCAGCTTGTAATTTACCTTGATAAAACTGAGATACATGATTTGGACTTTATTTTTTCCAAACTCATCTCCTATGAAATAGCCTATCTTTTACCCATTGATTTGAGGTACTGCCTTTGTTATATGATACCTTCCCAGATTTTAGGGTCTGTTTCTTGACTTTCTGTTCTGTGGTCAATCTCAAATCTCATGGTACATATTCCAGTACCATACTGTTTCATTATCAGGGCTTTATATGTTTTCATATCTATTTTGGTTAATCTTTCTTCATAGCTCTTATTTCGAAGTATTTCTGACTGTTACTGTTTACTTTTTCACATCAACTTTAGAACCAGTAGTAGCTAGAGAGGCATGCAGGACACAAAGCAGACTATTTAAGATAGGATAAAAACATGAAGCACTTAGGAATAAACTTAAGAAATGTGCAAGACCACTATGAAGAAAATTTTAGAGCACTTCTGCAGGACCCAAATGAAGACTTGAGAACATGGATCAAAACTGCTCTTGGATAGAAACACTCAGTCTTATAATGATATTATAGATGTCAGTGCTCCCTGAAGTAATTTACAAATCTAATGTAATCCTAATAAAAATACCAACAGAAGGACTTTAACAAGGTTCTTCTGATTATTCCAGATAGCCTTGTTGATCATCTTAATTAATATTAAGGTTGATAATTAGTTGCTTATTTCCTCTTCTGATTTTCTTAGCCCCTACTAGTAAGAGCAAACTTGTTTCATGTTTCCCTCTCTCTCCCCATGTTAAATGGAATGGACAAAAAGGGGTTTGTTCAGTCAGTTTCTGTGGACACAGCCTAGTCATTGCTTTTCTGCTCCCTAGTTGGAGGGTCTGCCTCTTTGTGATATATAAAATGATTAACAGTGACCCAATTACAGTTTTTTGGTTTTTTGGGGGTTTTTTGTTTTGTTTTTCTCAGTTAGGATTCTGAAAGGAGATTCGCTCTTTGCTTCAGTAGGAGTAGCAAGCATGGAGCAAAATGTTAAGACAGAAAAAAGGAATTTCATTCCTCTCTTCATTCCTTTTGTTGTATGTAAATAATTGTATGCTGATGGAAACCTTGCATTATGGTATTCTTGTGACACCTCTCAATTCCATACATATGCTGGTGAAAGAATCATAGACACCTCATAATTTACCAAAATGCTGCCCCTCCCAAGCCATCCAGCCCGCAGAGGCAACATTGTCTAAGGGTTCCTGGATACTGTTGCTCTTTGAGAAAATCACCAATATAAGGAAACCGCCAAACTTTATAGTGTTAGCAGAGACTTGGAGAAATGAAGAGACAATCTGAGCTGCAGGATGAAAAGAGCAAGTACTACTAACATTTCAAGCATTCCTGGATTAATGTTTAAATTTCATAGTAATCCCCACATAGTCATTTCTTTGAAGGGAGTGTGTGCAGGGAAACAAAATGGTTCTAAAATTCATCCAGTATAATAAAAATGTGAGAATATGGATGATAATATTTTCAAAATAAGATGAAGTGTAGGACTGTTTCCGTCAAGCAGTAAAATATAAATTTACCATTCCACTCTCCCATGAACCAGCATTCTTCTCTCCTGGATTATTCCCATCACTTTCCAAGATGTATAATTCTTAATTCTTAATTCCTCATTTGCCTCCAGATGTGGCTCCACATTTCACTGCTCTTTTTTTTTTTTAATAGCTAAACTTCTAAAAAGTTTCATTTACACTTCTTGGTTCTCCATACCCCTTTTACCCTCAGCACACTCCGGGCTTGTCTCTTTCACCATCACTCTACTGAAACTACGCTTGGAAAGTGAGTTTTGCCAAACCATCTAGCCATCCAGTTGTGTTGTTTTCTGCTGCATTCCCCAGACCTCTCAAAACATTCTGCGTGGTCGCTTTCCCCTTCTGGGGAAAGGAATTGTTTTCTTCCCTGGCTGACCTGCTCCCTGGTGTCTCTCATTTCTCTGCCTTCCTCCTCAGTGGCACTGTTGACTTCTCTTCTCTTAACCCGTGTTCCAGATGTTAACCGTGGCCTGCAGAGCCCACAGCACCTCACTCACCTGCCTTTTTATTCTCATCTGGTACCCCTCCTGTCTTCCGCCCAGTTTGAGTCGTGCTGGCTCACGCTGGCTCTCTCGTTTCCTCTCACATCCCATGTGTCTCCCACATGTCAGAGCCCTCACACACACTGTTCACTCTGCTTGGAATGCTCTCTCCTAATGCTTCTCACAAGGGGCTTCTCTTACCCGGCTTGTCTCACTTTGAAGTGACTTTCCCTGAATCCACTTTTCTTTGAACGTAAGTACTCCCTTTTATTCTTTAACAATCACAACAACTTCTTTATATGTTCCATAGAAATTCTCACTGTTTGAAATGATCTGTTGTTTATTTAATTGTTTATTAACCATCCATTTTGAAAATCCCCTGAGGGACAAGGACCGAATCTGTGTGTTTGGATTTTAGAATCACTTTATGCATGGTCCCCAGTGGGTATACTGCTTGACCCAGAGTAGGATCTCAGTGCCTAACAGTTGAATGAATGAACACAGATCAAAGCAATGTAATACCAGTAAAATAATAAACCCCCCTCAGGATCTCTCAGAACCTGTTACAAGTAAAGATGTGCCATATAATAAAGTGACACAAATTAATAGATGCAAGGATACTATAACTTGGGTTATTTGTGTGACATTTGGGCATGAAATCACTTCAAAGAAAAAGCAATAGAAACTTCAAAAGCACCTAAACATTAAATATAAAATGCCAAACAATAGAAGAACTGAAAGAAAATAAAACACTATCAAGTCTCATGGGGATAAGATGCTTTTTCTAAACCGAGAAGTGCTATAGAAATAACAAAGGAAAACATGAACAGATATTGAATTTAAAATCATTAATGCATTAACATAAAAAGTCAGTGTAGGTGCTGCCTTGGAGGGTGGATTCCTACAGCTGCTTTGGAAAATAAATCATTTCCCAGCAAAGTTGAACATATTAATACCCTAGAAAACCAGCAATTTCACTCCTAGGCATATACATGGAGAGAAAATCTTTTAAGTACAAGGAAACAAACAGGGATTTTTATAGTATTGTTTTTACAAAAAAAAAAAAAACCATCATGTTTTCAACAACAACAAAAATAGGTTAACAAATGGTGATAAGTTGACATGCTGGAATTCTATGAATATTTTGTGGAATGTCAATGAACTAGAGCTATGATTCACATAGGTGGATCTTAGAGATATTAAGATGAATAAAAAAGGAAGTTGCAAAAATATATATAGCATGTTACATCTTACTCTAATAAAAACATGCAAAACAAAATTACTTGTTTTGGGATTAATAACATTTATAATACAAGTATGAAGAGATGTACTGGAATGCTAAGCATCAAACTGAGAGTAATGGTTACCTCAGTGGGGTGGAGAGGAAGCAGTACGATGAAGGAATGAACACAGAGACCTTCAAAAGTATTAGTTGTTTGTTTGTTTTTTTCATAAGGCAGATGGGCACACAGGTTTTGGTTACATTACTGTTTAAACAATTGTCTTGGCTGAAATATTTAATTTTTTTTTGGCTAAAAAGGACTAAAATTAATGTAGATAAAATATTTGCTTTGCAAAGATAATATTTATCATATGAAATATAAAATTGCCAAACATTAAAAACATTGATACCCATATAGTTAGATGAGCCAGATAATTGAGCAAAAAATTCACAAAAAGGCTAAGAAATAAAAATGTGCTCAAGCTTAATAATAAATAAGCAAAGAAACATGAGACTTAATTTTCAACTATTTATAAAAATTTTGAAGTATCCCTGCTGTCATGGCATATTCAACCTTTGTACCCAGTAAATTTAGTTCTGAGAATCTGTTCTCAGAAAGACATCACTAGGGGCGCCTGGGTGGCTCAGTTGGTTAAGCGTCTGCCTTCGGCTCAGGTCATGATCCCAGGGTCCTGGGATCGAGCCCCGCATCGGGCTCCCTGCTCAGCCGGGAGCCTGCTTCTCCCTCTCTCTCTGCTTGCCACTCTGCCTCTTTGTGTTCTCTCGCTCTGTCAAATAAATAAAATCTTTAAAAAAAAAAAGAAAGACATCACTAACTTCTCATAATTATACTCTTTGAGTTATAGAATTATAGGTCTTTTTTTCCCATTTTTCAGAACTTCGTTTAAATATTATCACTTTTAATATGAAAAAATAAGTGATCAAGTGGTGCATTAATACCTGTTGGTACTATACTTATAAATGAGCAATATTCTCAGCCACTATTCCTTTATAACCAGTTAAATAGGAAGTGACATTTAAATGTCTTATAATAGATTACTTTGTTCTTTAGCAAGCAACTTGATTTGAAAATAATGCTCATATATGTATATAAATTTATAGTTTTCTATTTTCTTTTTAGGAAAAGAAAGAAAGGCAGGAAAGAATTGAACGAAAACAAAAGAAGCGTCATTCCTTTCTTGAAAATGAGGCACTTCCTCCCTGGAGCCCTCCAAGCAGAACTGTGTTCTCAAAAGTGTTTTGATGATTCTCATTTTTACATTATTTAGTTATTTATCAATTCACCATGTTAGCCACTATTTATTCAATTAGTTATAGTTAGAAGAGTCTATTTTAATTAAGTGCCAGCCATTTCCACTGACAATGGAAAAGATGCTTTGGAGTTTAATCAGTGAAATGACTGAAAGCATTTTTTTGGACTGTAGATAAACTGCCTCAAATGAGAAGGTAAAAATCAGATTGCTCTTACCATTCTAATGACTCTATCATGTCCTCACAGTCCTTACAATCAGATGATCCATGGTCACTTTCTCTAAGCTGTGCATGGTATTTAAGTGTGTTTATTCCCCAGAATGAAAAGGAAACCATCTAGGTACTATAATCATTGAAATAATTGAATCTCTGAATGATTGTGCATCTAGATTCAGGTTTTAAAAGGAATCGTTGCTGGGTGTGTGTATGTGTGTGTGTGTGTGTGTATTTTCCCCCCCAAAACTGATCTTAAGCTCGAGCAGTTGCACTTAAACTGTGCAAGTTAGAGTTTCAGTCAGTTGAGGCAGTAGTTTAGTAGAACTCGAATCATCAAGGCATTTTATTTAAAACGTTTGCCTTATGTTTTAATATGAGTTTTATCTGTCCCAGACCTTAACGTGACAATCGTAGGCACTTTATAATGACTAGACCTCTGAAATTTGTCTTCTAAATTCTCTCACTTTATTATTTCAGTGGTACCAAAAAAAAATATATCCATTTCTTGGTAGTGAATATACTTACACAGTAGTTATGGAAATTCCGTAAGAGCTCAAGGTCATTATCACTGTTAATAATTTTTTCCAGACTAAAGCCATAAAGGTGATAAAGGCAATTTTTTTATCTCTTAGCTTATTCCAGAGTCTTAAAGCTTATATTTAGAAGACAGCTGTATAGGAAGACAATTTGTAGAAAATACCCAAAGAATATTTATTTATCTGATCACTGCATATCTTTATATTAGTTGGACTTGTACTTGAACTGCTCAGCTAGTTTATCACAGACCAAATGTATGCTCTCAGAGCTGACTACTTTAGCCAATGATGCCATGCAATGATGGATGAGAATAAATAATTACTATTTATTAAGCACCTAATGTGTGCCCTCTGCTGGATCTTTACAAATGTCAATTCTTATCTTTACAGCAGTTATTCAATGTAGGTGTTATTTTGCAGATAAAAAGTCCTGAGACTTGGAGAAATACCTTGCCATACATTTAGCATGTGACTGAATCGGGATTAGAATTAAGTCTTTCTCCCTCCAGAATCAATATGCTCATTTTTATGCTCTGTATTATATCAACTTTACAAACACATTTTACCTCTCAGATCCTAAAATCATGTATTGTTATCCAGAGATTATCTTTCCTTTAAGAAATATCTGTTTGTTATTAGAGATGGTGAACTTTATTAGGTCTATGAAATGAAAGACGTTTCCCATAATATTTAAAGATATAGTCAAATGCCTTGTACGTACTGTTAGAATGTCAGGAAAGCCAGCAGGTTGTGGAACACAGCCTTTAAGATAGTCACTCAGGAGGTTTCACTCAGAGGATTAACCTCGCTGTGGTGTGTGTGCAAGATAAGGAAGATCTCATGGATCACTTTCTATGATCACATCAGTGCTACAGATAAATTTGTTTTAAATTTATAAACAAAACTAGAAGCCTTTTTATACTGCCAGGAACTAGGAGCATACTTCATGAACTTGAAACTATTATTATCAATGTGTATTATCAATATGGGATTTAGCTCCTTTCTTTTTCACCAAATATATATATGGTGCCTACCAGAATGAATTGTTGTTTCTGGTATCGATTTAGCTATTCAGACCTAAAAAGGTATTTGCAAATTTCAGGAAAATAAAAGAAAGAAAGATCAGGGATATGAGATCATAAATGTATGTGTCATAAATTTCATATTAAATATTTGCTTAAACTTCCCAATTATTTTCTTCTTCGTTATCATATTTAGTAGCTTGCCATTATCGTTTCTTAGTTGTTGTGAGCATTGAATGAAATGAGTAATTAAAGCATATGGCATTGTTTACATTTATTGCCTATCAAGAGCCCTGCATTTCCCCACTTCATGTATGTGAGAAGAAAGTTAACATAGGCAGGGTTCATAATGCTTATTTGACATACATTTTTAGCATACAAGAAGAAATCTCCGCTTTCCTGGCCAGTCTAGCACTCAAAGGAGAATACAGAGGTGACCTGTATTAGGGAGTTCCTAAAAAGAAGTCTAAATACTAATTTCTTAGCACTGCTTGTGAAGTAGGATCAAAAGAGAAATTGAGGTGTTCGCAAAGACCCAGCAAGTTGTTTCCCTCAAAACGGGAAGTTTGTCTTACTATGATAAATAATATATTATTTCCAGTTTACAGCGACCCGTACTGGTCAGTTATCTAGTTGAATGAAATCCTCTCTTCTCCTGCAGCAGAAATAAAGCTGAGTTTTTGGGAGCTGGGTGAAAGTAAAGTACTATTTACTTTCTGAGATCCGAAGAGGCGAATCAAGCCTGGTAATATTCTCTTGAATGTATTTATCTGTTTAAGGTGTATGAGTTCCCCATATGTCCTTAAAAGTATCAAATATCAATATACATATTTGCTCATCAAGTTTTCATTAATTTATAATAAGAGGGAATTCACATTCAAATTAAGGACACTAAAGCCTATAGGTTTTCAGATGAAACTTCTAGTTTTGTAAATTGTATTGATCCCTTGAATGCCGACACTTCGAAGTAAAGAAAATAAGAATTTAATGTTTATTTTAAGACATTACTGAAAAGGGTTTCCCGAGAAATTTACTTATCGGTACAAAAAATAAAATTTTAGACACAATGTATTTTCCATAGCAACCAAGAAAATAGTGTTACATAAATAAAGAGAAACTATATGGCATTTCGGATCAGAAGGAAGAGGCAGTTTTCTTAAAGAAGATAAAAAGTATTCAGGGATAACAATTTTTCAGTGGTTTGTATCATATGTTTTGAAAATGTTAGTGGTTCATTTATTGTTTTAATAGTATTGAAACCTATATTTTTCACTGTTGCCAAAGCAGTAGCTGATAATAGTTAAGTATCCACAGTGGTATTACCTTGGAGGGATAAAACTGCATCTGGAAGGGTTTTTAATACTTTAATAGAACTGGCCCAAACCCTATTTCCAAGGTGAACAAGACTACTCTGACTCGTCCAAGCCCATACCACTAACCATAAGAATCCCGAGTTAGAGATCAGGTGTCCAGTTTTCTAGTGTAATCTGCCCACCATTCCACAATTTTGAGAATCTGATAAAACTTTTCACGCTAACTTTTGTAACCATGGTCATTTTCAACTTGGTTCATTGTGATCCTCTCAGATGGTCCCTTATTCTTCCAGTGCCTTCTCCATTACTCCACCAGATCAAGGCTCTTTGGGCACCTACACTACTACTTCATGGGTCGAGGAGAACTGAAGTTTCTCAAGCCCTGAGTCACAGGCGAAGATACAATGGAAAAAAGGAATTTCACAAAATGGGAGAAATTGCATGTTACTCAAAGTAGTTCCCAAGAATAAACTAGTAGAGAAAACAAATTTTCCTGATGTCATCTTGGCTCTAATTTCAGTAGTGCTATATTAACAGGTATTTAAACCCATATGCTTCCATGTTACACAAAGCAAAGATATTATCAATTGCCCTGCTTCCTAGGTACATTGGCTGACAGAATAATGAAAGCTATGTAAATGCTTAACTGAAGACTTCCCTGAATTCTTTTTGTTTCAAAATTTTATGTGATTTGATTATTTTGAAACATGTTACATGTAACCGTATAATGTTAACTAAATTATTGGTATTAAATTAGGATGTTGTTTTAAGAATTACTTGAGGAGATGTATTTAATGTCTGCTTTTTAGTAGCATACTTTGTGTTGTGATAAATTAAAGTTAACCATTCAAGATTTATTTTTGTTGGGTGACATTATTTTTTGATTGTGCCAAATTTCATTTCATAACTTTGGAAAATGTGATATGAGTTTTATTTGTGGGCTAACGAAATAATCATTGCCTTTTGCAGCAACATGGATGGATCTAGAGAGTATTATGCTAAGGGAAATAAGCCAGTCAGAGAAAGACAAATACCATATGATTTCACTCATATGTAGAATTTAAGAAACAAAACAAAGAAAGAAAAAAATAAAACAGTCTCTTAACTATAGAGAATAGAGGGTTACCAGAGGGGAGGTGGGTAGGGAATGGGTGAAGTAGGTGAAGGGAATGAAGAGCACACTTGTCATCATGAGCACTGAGAAATGTATAGAATTGTGCAGTCACTATATTGTACACCTGAACCTAATATGACACTGTATGCTGACTACACCAGAATTTTTTTAAAAAGTTGAAATAATCATATTATGCTGATAGACCTTTTACTAGAAATGACTGAAAAATTTTTTAAAATGAAAATTTGGATATAAACTTTTACTTGAAATACTACACAAATTACAAAAGTAATGTATAAAATTATCAAATAGTTAAAAAGTGCAAATAGCAAAAATAACACGCATTCCCATCTCCCCAAAATAATCATAGTTCACATATTTTGTACTCTTCCAGCTTTTAATTTCCAGTGCATTTTTTCCTGTAGTTGAAATTAAATGGAGGATGAAGAAAATAGAGATACAATTCCCTCTCTCTCTTTCTGTTTTTCTCTGTGTCTCTGTCTCTCTCCCCTGCTACATGTATGTGTATACATAGGTGTTGTATTTCTATATATGTCTATATAGCTCTATATATACAGTTATATATAGTTGAGTGGAAAACTCGGGTAACCCCAAATATGCAGTTTGATCTCATTTTCTATTTTAAAGAATAAAAAGTTTGAATTTATGCATGTAATCAAATGTGTTGTATTTCTATATATATTTGGTTACCCAAGTTTTCCACTCAGCAATATATAATGAACATATTTCCATGCTATTATGATTTTTCTAATAATCTTTGATGCTGCAACTACAATTTAACCTATTTTGGGCAATTTGTTTCCTTATAAATGTTTGCTATAGTAAGTAATAATACAGCCAACATTCTTGTAATCAATATCCTTGTTATTAAGAGGGTGGACCTCATTAAATCTCTAAAAGGAAAAAAGAATTCATAATATTTAAGGAGTTAGTCAAATGCTTTGTATCTGGTATTAGAATGTTAGGCAGGGTGCCTGGGTGGCTCAGTCAAGTGTTGGACTCTTGATTTCAGCTCAGGTCATGATGTCAGGGTCCTGAGGAGCTCTGAATTGGGTTCCACACTGAGCGTGGAGCCCGCTTAAGATTCTCTCTCTCCCTCTCCCTCTGGCCCTCTCCCTTCCGCCCCTCCCCACTTGCATTGT